TCCTTCAGCGCTCCTTCACCACCTCTGCATCTCAACGGATACCAGCAAGAACAAGCCTGATGACACCCTGGTCCTCCCCTTTGGCAGCAGGTTTCCAGCATCATCTGCCTGTTAATCTGCCCTTTGCACCCCAGGTTGTTTCAACTCTCCTATGATTCTCCCAGGAAACCCCTGTTGGCCTAGGATGCACAGACTATGATCCATCAGGCATGGAGCTCCTGGCTGCAGAGCTGGGACAGGCATCCAGATCAGCGTCCTGCTGGAAAGCTGGCCTGCAGACACAGCTCTTGGACCCCTGGGCCTCTACCACCTTCCTCTTTGCTTTGTGTAAGGATAGAGCTGACAGTGACATCCCATTCCCTGGCAGATAAAAGAAGGCACATGCCTGCCTCTGAGAAGCAAGCCACCTCTTCCAGGCCCCTCCAGTATCTGGCAACACACTGGGTCAGCCAGCAGGGCTGTAGAGAGTGTTTACCAAATCAGCTTACAGAGAGGTGGATGAGATCCTACGCAGTTTGGGGTTTTCTCTGCTGAAACAGTCAGCTAGATAATTAACTGATTCAAGAAGTGAGGAATTGACAGCATTTTGTAAACTATATAAACTGACAGAAGCTAGACTCTGATGAATGCAAAGGAAACAGGCTTTGTTGAACACTTCCCAGAACTACAGAATGCCATCAAACAAATCAGGACTGTTCCATGCAGTCCTCCAAGTAGCCATGCGAAACCCAACCCTATGCAGTTCTGCAAGGCAGCCAAATTCTGACAGAGCTGTCCCCTAAATGAGGATGTATAACCGCAGGTGGATTATGAAGAGATTTGGTGGAGGAAATTACCTAAGATATTATCTGGGAGTTCCTGAGCACTGAATATGGCTGCCAAAAGCTCCCATAAAAGATGGTTCTCACGGATGTCAGCATCACTGTGGAAATTCACTGGAGGATGCTCAGTCAGGACCAGCTTTTATGCCAGCCAGCACTACCCTCTTAATTCTCTTCTGACCAGCACTTCCTATACACGAGGAAAACAGCAGCGGCCAGGGACGTTCTCCAAACACCTGCTGCTGTTCACCAGGTTCCCTCAGAGCAGGCAAGGACTCTAGACCTCCACCTCCCTCTCTAATGCTGTGAATTCTAGAAGGCTTCCTGGGAATGAGGATGTGTGAATGAGAGTGGCTATAGTGTGGAAATTTCCTTTGAGATAAAACATTCCGTCTCAGAGGAAAACCCATTAAAATGAAGGATATTCTAAAGGGAGGAAACTTTCTGCTCTACAGGGAAGTTCCTTAAAACTCAGGAAGTGAGCAACTCGATAGCTTCAGGAAGTCCCTGAAACTGACATATTCACTAGGCCCTGCCCTCCCTAAACTTTTATGCAGTAAAGACAGCTGAGAGTCTCTCAGGCAATTGGAGCTGTCGAGTAGAGAGGCTCACACCAGACTAACTGCCTTGACGAGGTTTGGGAAACTTAGTTACCTGCAAAGGACACTCTCCAATCTGCAGGGCCGCCTGCAGGCTGTGCAGTGTGCTCCAGCTTTTGTGTCCACCATGCCTAGGTGGACTTCGGCAATGCAGCTGTGTTTGAGTCATCTCTGCTGCTGTAAACAACCCCAATAAAACTCACTGGGTCACTTTAGTCGGACTTTGGTAGTATCCTTACTTTGGTCTGTTGTTGGTTCCCTATTTGGGGTAGGTAGATATTTGTTTCTAGCTCCTCACAAATAGTGTCACACAGCACTGGCCCAGTGTGGCTATGTGTGTCAAAGGATAGAGGCTGGGTCTTTCCAAGGATTCTCCACAGAAACCCCTATGTTTTCATTTTGGCTGGCAGCCGGTTGCACACAGAATGGAGGACTACAGTGTTCACAGTTGTACCAATTGGAACCTCAGCCCTTCCCTTGCATTAACACAGGCACCTGCAGAAGCTGATCAGTCCCTCTGAGTCTCAGTTACCTTCTCTAAAACCAGTCATCAAACATTTGTTCTCTAAAGGTGTTTGGGAGAATGTGTTGAAAGGCCTTGGTAGAATCTACTGTAGAAACTGCTTGATACAAGTTGACATTTACGCTGCTCAAAGTCATCAGAGTGCCTTGCAGTTTTTCATCCCTGTGCCAGAACGGAGCAAGTTAGTAGTGAAGGCTTGCTTTGGCTTATGGTTTGGAAGAGGCTCCACTGGTGCCTGCCTCCATTGCTTTCCTGACTACAGCCAAACAGACAAACTGCTGGGAATTCATGACAGAGGAAAGCGGCTCCACTCTTGGGATCCAGGAAGCAGAAAGAAACAGGAAGGGTTCAAGAGCAAGATGCATCCTTCAAAGTCACACCTACAGTCAGCCACTTCTTCCAGCCAGGCCCAGCTCCCCCAGGCTTAATCAGCTGCAGATCCATCAACAGACTGACCCATTGATGAGTGAGAGCTCTCAAGAGCTAATCATTTCTCAACAGTGCCACCAGCTGGGGACCAGGCCTTCAGCTCATAAGCCTTTTGAGGGGACATTTCATATTCAGCCCATAGCAGTCAGCTCAGCGGTCCATACGGTGTAACTGCTAGATCAGGATCTGGAGAACTTCCCCACCAGAAAGAGCACCGAGCCTTGCTCAGTGCAGCCAAAGACAAGGCTGCAGAGTCAGCAAAGCAGATGCTTGGCCCTGTGGACCTTGGTGTGGCTGCCCTCCCTAAGAAGAGCCTTTCACAATGAGTGGTAGGCCCTAGGCTGGGTACCAAGGGTAGCGGTGGCAGGGAGAGACGTGGGCAGCCATGTGTTCATGTGGGAGAGGCACACAGAGTAAGCCTGGCTGAGCTTCTAGGAACTCAGCTCTGCAGAGGGGTCTCCTGTCACCCCAGTCACTCAGAGTCACATTCCATTTGTTTATTTGTTTGGACAGAGTAAACCTTATTCTTGATCAAGAAGGAAGAGTGAACACAAAGACAGGAACTGACCATGTCTTTTCATATTTGCTTATTCAATTGGCTAGTCTTAAAAGAATCATTTTATTATTTTATGTGTATGTGTACTACACACATGTCTGGTGCCCACAGAGGTCAGAAGAGGGTATTCAATACCCTAGAACTGCACATTTCTTTTTTTATTAAATTGACTTGATAATTGTTTTGTGTGTACCAGTGTTTTGTCTATATGTGTGTGTCTTTGTACTGTGTGTTCCATGTGCCCAGGAGTATCAAAAAGGACATTGAATCCCCTAGATCTGGAGTCACAGATGGTTGTGAGCTACCACGTGAGTGCTGAGAATTGAACTATGGTCCTCTGGAAGAGCATCCACTGCTCTTAACTGTTAAGCCATCAGAGTCACAGTTTCCTGGGCCATTTTTACCATTTCCCTCTGCTGAAAAGGAAGGTTGTGAGAGGAATCCCTCTGAATTTTCATCCTATTATAATCCAAACAACTGACAGGTACATGACATCAATACATGCATGTTGAACAGATTATCAAGTGACCTGAAAGCTTTAATGCTATACTGAGCCGAGTTCTTCCAGAACCAGGCACCAAGACAGGGTTTCAAGAGCAAGTTTACTGAAGAAGAAGACAACAGTGGTTGGCATTGGCAAAGCAGGGAAATGAGACAAGGCAAGAAGAGGCAATAAGGAGAGATTGGTATCCGGAGCATTTTCCACCTCAAGTGGGAAGGCATGATCCCCAGAGGCACTCATGGATGAGTGTAGATGCAAGCCGCCATCCATTCCCAAGATGGCAGTGGGCCCATCTCATAGTCTTTGGCCTGCATGCCTTCCAAGGGGTGGGGAAAGCAGACTCCAACTCTAAGGAACCAAGACAGAGATCTTTTACTCACTAAGGGGTGGCCTGCAGCAGATGGAAATGGAACCTGCAATCTTCACCACCAGGTTCCAATGGATAATTCCAAACCTGTGGCCATGCAGATGGATGGTCCTAGTTAAAACTCAGTGGCTCAGGAAACAGAACGAAGGTCAGGAACATGGTGGGAAAGAGACTTGTAAGGGAAGATGGGTGGCAGGGATGACAGTACCTATCAAGCAACCCAGGCTGGTATTCAACTTGCAGCCCTCCTGCCTGTACCTCAAGGCCTAGCCAAAAACAGTCTTTAATGCTAAGAGATTGATTCTTGTGCAGGACATAGACAGTAGTACTTCTAGAAGTTTCCAGGGTGAGAAGAGACAAATAGATGGCCACATGTGAACCAGTCTGAGCTCTGTAAAAATATAGATTATTTCTTTAGCAATGGTTTTATTTCCAGTGTGGGAGACTGAGCCCAGAACATCACTGGTACCAGGTAAATGTTCTTGTGTGGGGCCTACAGAAAACCACACTAAAGAGGCATGTGTGAGAGAGCATCACACATGGTGATCAGCTACTGTTTTTTTCTATCTCAGGTTCTTTTTTTTTTTCATCCAAAAACTAACAGAACAAATTCAGGATCTTATGTTCTGGTTAGATTTCATGTCAGTTTGACAAAAATCTAGAGTCATATAGGAAGGGGGGGAACACCACTTAAAAATTTGCACTGTGGCTAAAGAGATGGCTCAGCGGTTAAGAGCATTTGTTCTTACAGAGGACCCAAAGTCAATTCCCAGCATCTAGTAGGTGGCTCACAACCATCCATAATTCCAGTTCCATGGGACCCATGCCTTCTTTTGACTTCCTTAGGTACCAAGTATGTACATGGTACACAGACATATATGTTAGCAAAACTCTCACATACATCAAATAAATATTAAAACAAAATAAAGCAAACAACAATAACAAAAAAGACTAAAGAAAAAGAAAGAAAGGCATCCGTCTTGAGTACAGTTTTTATTGCCATGAAGAGACACCATGACCAGGACCACTCTTATAAAGTAATACATTTAATTGGGGGTGGCTCGCTAGCAGTTTCAGAGGATCAGTCCATTATCATCATAGTGGGGAGCATGGTGGCATGCAGGCAGACATGGTGCTGGCTACATCTTGGCTTATAGACAACAGGAAGTTGACACAAGACACAGGGTGATATTCTGAGCATAGGAAACCTCATAGCCTGCCCCCACAGTGGCACACTTCCTTCAACAAGGTCATTACCATTCTAACAAAGCTACACCTCCTAATAATGCCACTCCCTGAGATTATGGGGGCCATACATTTAAACTAGCACAGCCTCTGTCACATGGACCTTTAGCTATGTCTGAGAGACATTGTGTCATTGATTTGATTGATGATTGATTTGAGTGGGCCAAGTCCACTGTGGGTGCCACCATCCCTAGGCAGGTGGTCCTGGAGTGTATAAGAAAGCTGACTGATCACAAGCTAATGAATGAGACAACAGTAAGCAGCATTCTCCCTTGACCTCTGTTCCAGGTCCCTGTTCTGACTTCCCTTGATGATAAACTGTGATCTAGAAGTGTAAAAGGAAATACACCTTTTTCTCCCCAGAAAGCTTTTGGTCACAGCAACAGAAAGTAAACCAGGAGAACTTGACTTCCATCTTTTTTAGAATGGAAGACTTAAAAATACAGTGTGATGGTGACCAGTTCTTCAAAGCTAGCCCATGAGCCCATACTTGTGGGAGAGTCCAGGATAGCAGGGCATGGTAGCATTCAAAATGTGCTGCTCCTCAGTTTCACTGCTGGTGTGAAAGGTCCTTACTGCCTCCCTTCTCCTCTCTCCTCCCTAATTCTGCATCTCTGCTGAAGTGTTTGTTACCTTGCCATCCTTGTTAGCATCTGGCTGAGAGGTTGACTTCACTTAGCATTTTATGTTTCCTTGCTTTATTCTCCTAAGCTTTTGGATAGTTTGAGCCTGAAATCAGGTGGAAGGGGCCTTTACTTAGTTGTAATTCCACAGACTGGTTTGTCACTAAGTGTATTTCAAAGTCTCCCATTCTGGAAATGATGGGAGCCAATGGGAAACTACAATAACTCAATCCAGGCAGGATGACAAAGAATCTGAACCATTCAGGGATGAGGGTATAGGCCACCCAGGGAAAGCACTAAAGTGCTGGCTGAGGGCAAAGGAAGCACAGAATGGATAGTAGAGGAGGGTAGTTATATTACCAGCTAAGGTCATGTGACAAGCTGCAGGGATGAAGATTGTAATTGACATGAGTGTTCTGTCCTTTCTTTAAAAATGTTTGTGAATATATACACATATTAAGTTGTTTGCAATTTCTTCCTCTCTGTTACATAATGTAACATTGATTGAGGCAATATCAGTGGTTAAGTGTTGTAAGTCTGTATTATCACATTTAAGTTATGAGACACTAAAAGACTAATCATTCCTCAAGGGATTTTGCTGCCTATTCTAATACACATACACACATGTGCACGCGCGTGTGCATGCACACACACACACACACACACACACACACACACACACGCATGCACGTATATAATGTGTTTATGGTTGTAGGTGGGATAGTTATTTCATGTTAGGCAGAATAGTGCCCTGGTTAATTTTTTAATGTGGAAATTAAATGTGAAATAGGAGATATGATCATGTATCAACTTGGCAAGGGGTAGATTTGTGATGACAACTCTTGGTTGTCAACTTGACTATATCTGAAAACCACCAAAATCCCTGCTGGCACTCCAGTGAGGGATTTTGTTGAGTAGATTATTTGAAGCAGGAAGACTCACCCTAAATGTGGGCAGCACCTTCTAGTTGCAGCCCACAAAAGGACATGGAAAAGGGAAACTTTGCTGTTCGGCTGCTTGTCGTCACCCTCGCCTGCAAGTTCATCTGTCCTGTGGCTGAGGCATCCCATCACCAATATTAGAAGCAATTTCTTTGGAGTTCCAACACAGACTGAAGATCTGTGACTCTTCAGGATTCCAGCACCAGATTGGGACTGCTGAGACATCCAGCCTTGTAGATTGAAAAACTATCAGTGTGTGTGTGTGTGTGTGTGTGTGTGTGTGTGTGTGTGTGTGTGTGTGTGTGTGTTTCTTTAGAGAACTTTGACTAACCAAGGAGAGTACAGAAGGAGGATCACAAGTTTAAGACCTGCCTAGGCTACAGAGTGAGTTCCAGGACATCTTGGGTAACTTAGAAAGATCCTCAATTAAGAGATACAAGGAGGGATGGACAGGTGGCTTAATAGCAGAGTGTTTAGCTAGAACCCACCAGTGGCAGGCTTGAGCCATGTTTCAGTGGTAGAGCCCCTGCCTGGAATCCACTAGTGAGGGCTTGGGAGTGTTGTTCAGTGGTTAAAGCACTTCCTAAGAATCAAGATGTCAATATTCAGTACTGCCAACAAATAAAATTAAGGAAGCCATCCATTGAGGGCTTCATCTTGGAATGTTCATTCTCTTGCACTTCCCATGCATGGTGCCCAGACACATAGAATGGCACTGCTTCCTGGAACAGTCACACTGAGACACTGCAACACAGACACTGACCCTTGGAGGCTACAGTGTGACTCCACACACTGGAATGATCTTATTCATGCATTGGCTAGGGTTTAGTTGCTTCTGGTCTCACTCATCCTTTGAGCCCTAGTCTTGAGGCTAGAATTGTCTACATAGAAGTATTTCATCCCTGGCTCCCACTGCTCCTGCAAGAGAGTTCACCAGCTACAAGCACACATCTCATGAGGTACAAACCTCATGAGGAATAGTGGGAAATCTAACCCAGAGGACCAGGCCAGCAGTCCTCCTCAGAGACTGGCACACAGGACTAAAACTCTTCTACACTGTGATGCACACCATATCTCCAACCAGAGGAATCCCACACACACCTCTACTGTTCTTCCCTATCCTTCCTCGTCCTATCAGGAGCATCCTCCCTAGAAATTGAGGAAGAGAATTGGTCAATTCCATCTTATCCCTCATGTCAGGCCTAGGACTGGCAGGTTTGCCAGGAAGGACGGCTTTTAAAGGCCTGTGCTGGTCTACAACCACAGTTTGGTGGGATTTTTCAGCGGGCCTCAGCTTCATTGAACTACCATGGTGCATTCCCTCTACATGCTGGATTGCCCATTCAGTGGTGTGAAATGGTCATATCTAGTATTTCTTCAATCAGAGCTTGTGCTCCTGGCAAGAATGCATGTCTCAGCTTTTAAGAACTCAACAGAAATGGTTTAAAAGTAAAGTAAAACTCAATGAGAGACAAAACATATTTGTCATGCATGTTGAGTTTTCAAGCACAGACAGGAATAGGAACACTGTATCCAAGATCATCCTATGGTATGTTCAAGTTAGCATCCTGTTGCTACAGTACAAAAGCTCAGAGATGGAATCTTGAGTGTTGAGAAGTCTCCCTCTGTAAATAGGTCTTCTACTTTGGAATCTTTGCAAATGGCACATAAAAATGAAAATAGATATATTGGAGTCGTGTTTGATATTTTTAAGATTTTATTTTATGCATAGGAGTGTTCACCTGTATGTATGTCTATGCACAGTATGTGTATAGTGCTCACAGAGGCCAGAAGAGGGCATCTGATTCCTCAAAACTGGAATTACAGATGGCTGTGAACTCCCATGTGAGTGCTGGGAATCAAACCCTGGTGCTCTACAGAACAGCCAATGTTCTTACCTCTGAGCATTTATGCAGACTTGGTATGCTTTGACTGATTGACTAATTGGTTGTAGGTAGGAAGAATCACAAGGAATCTTTGAAATAACCTAACAACAACAAAATGTGCTCCTTGGTTCCCTCCTCACAGTGAATCATCAACAGTGGAAGAGTAAAACCTGGTATCTCTAGAACGACTTCACCAGGGAACCCTCCTGTCTTCTCTCTGAAAGTGACCAGCCATGATGATAAAAGCCACCAAGGGATTCCCACAAGGAGAGGACAGAGAAGCAGGCACAGGCTCTGCCAGTCCTTGTGGTTGTCAGCTCCATTAGCAGCTGCTCCAACTGTTGGCAACATGCATTGTGCCTTTCAGGATGTCTGTACCCAGGAGGGCAGAAACCCAAAACTGGCCCTACATTGAAGGTCAGATCTAAAGTTAGGTTTTCAAAACTTTTAGTTACAAATTCTATAAAGTCTTTAGGTCATGGCCAAATCTCATGTATCTTGACTTTCCTCATCAGATGGATGCAAAACAAGAATAGGAAAATCACTTTCTTTGACCATCTTTAGTGTCTTTGCCTCATACAGTGACAGAAGAGGGGCCCTTGGTTGGCACATTGGCAATGTTCTAGAAGTACATGGGAGGGAAGACAGAAATGGGAAAGAAGCCATAGACAGAGAAGGGTTACGCAGTTTTGTAAAAAGGACAAAGAACCTTGTGCAATACAGGTGGCATAGAGTCTGAAAACATGGTCACACTTCTTCACCAGCTCCTGCAGAGTCTTTGAGAACTGCTCTCCTCTAGTTTCTCTTTATGGTGTGGGAGAGTCTGGACCCTATCAGTTAACCCCAGCAAATATTTATCAGGTACCACTTGGAAGTTTGCCTCTGTGCCTATGGAGATAGGCACATCTCATCTGGTCCTTAAGGAGCTCTTAATCTCTTAATTTAGGGCAGTGATTCTCAACATGCAGCTCATGACCCTTTGTCAAACCTCTATCTCTAATAGCAAAATTGCAGTTATGAAGTAGCAATGAAAATAATTTTATGGTTGGGGGTCACCACAACATAAGGAATTGTATTAAATGGCCACAGCATCAGGAAGGTTGAGAACCACTGATTTAGGGGAAAAGGTAATTCATCAGCCTACATAGGGACTTCAGGTGACAGTTTCCTGAGATAGCTTCCCTTTTTCTTCCCTAGGACTTTGTCTAAAAACTACACTGAGACCCTGGCTCTCTCTTACATGGCTTCCTGTAATTCTCTGTTCCTTTGTGGACACCTCACAATGTGATATTATACAGTCATTCAACTCTGCCTGACACTTCTCCAGGAATGTAATGTCTTATTTCCTGCCATATTCCAAAGTGTACATTCTCAGAGAGGAGGGATCACATCTCCCGAGCTGGGTTTCTCATGTCTGCCCCCAGTACTGTCTGTAGTTCTCTTCATTGTAACAAAATGCCCCAGAGAACAGCTCAA